CAGAAAGTAGTATCTGGCAGACAAAGTCATGCTGGCACAGATGAGTTTTTTAATGGGCAGTAAACTTCATATATCATGCATTTTCCAGTGTGCCAATGTTAAAAGTCTTGAATATATTTACTATAATTCAGGAAGATCATAATGTGGAATATGTTGGAGAAGAATGAGAAACCTATTAAAATTGTGTTTTCCCCTTTTGTGAACTTCTAAAAATATGCATCCATATGACATTTTTGCCCAGACATTTGGCTTCTTTAAAATTTCACATCTGGCATGTCCCATTGACACCACTCACATATAAACAATCAGGTTTAGTAGAATCGCATTTAACATAAATGCAATTATTTATATACATTTAATGGTCATTCATTATATAATAATGCTGAAATTCTCATATGTGCATTCCTCCAAAGCAGGAATTTTCTCCTAAACAAACTCTTATATTGGACACTTTTTTTCCATAATATGATAGTAAAGAGACACTCTAAGCAACATACATCACTACAGCGCAGTAAATAGGTTACGTTGCTTACAGGGTTATTCAAGAATAAAGAAAGGACAATTAAAGGTGAATTTCGAATGTAAGGCCCAAATAGCAGAAATGGAAAAATTTTACTTTTCTATGCTTTCAGTTCAACTACTCTGGTCTTACATTGGAAATTCACTTTGAATTCTCACTTCAGTAAATAACACTGTTAGAGTTTCTGAGCACCATCCTCTGTGTATTAGATAAACTTATTTAGGAGTGATTTAACAAAAATTATGGCTCTCCTTGGCACATGAGAACGCCTCACTCCTCAGCCATGTTGATAATGTGGAATTAACACTAATGCATTATTCATTTTAATTTTGTCCAACCTAATTTTGACAGCAGTGATTAGCTTAGAGTGCTGGGGATGGTTTGGCATGAATACTTAATTACACTTTGATAAAATTTAGTGTCATTGTGGGGTGTATACACTGGAACTGCTTTATATTTCTTCTGTTACATATCCGTAAGATGGATTTTATACTTCTCTTAAACGAATAATATAAGAGCTCCAAATCAAGAAATATATTTATATAAATGTATTTACACACTGGGTAGAATATTTTTATTTGTCTTCATATAGTATCAACTCACTCTGTCTTGCTCTGACTCTATAGATATGGATTTACAGTGAAGAAAGGAGGAGATAACTCAACCTAAAAAGGTAAACATAGTGGACATGGGAATTTAATCTTGATTTTCTTCATTGACGTTTTCAGAATCCATGTGGTAGTCAGCTGTGATATGATCCATCAAAACAATAAACAAAAACAAAAGACTGTATGTACATTTCCCAAGTTCCTGTATCAAGATATTTCTATAACATGGTCAATTTCAGAATCCTCGTTGAATCGCCATAGTACAAAGTTACAAATGATTTTGATTATAAACCCAACTATCATATAGGTTGCAACAACAGTGAGCCCAGTGTACTCGCCACTTGACCTGCCTGTACCTTGATTTGTATACAAAACTCATCAACTTTCCACTTTCACCAGATTCATCGAGTTAAAGGAATATTATAGGAATTGAAACAACTTTAACTTAATGAAAGAGTTTGGGTATATAAATCATGCACATTTCTGCCATTTAGGAGTTCAATCACTTTTTCTGTCCATGCACCCCTGCCACCCCCCCCCTGACTCTGGCAGACCCCCAAAAAATTGGTTTCATTTTGAATCAAACCATAACTTACTTTAGATGTTTTTACCTCCTCCTCTGTAAATTGAACACCAATCACACACAGAAGACTCCTAGAGCAGGAGATAATACACTCCAAATGAAACACACTATGCAATAAAGGAAATTATACAGGAAGTGTTTAGGAAGGCTGTGTGGGTCACATGCAGGGAGGTGTGACTAGACAAAGTGGCTTAACTCATAAATGGCCGGGAATTGAGGAGCGAGACCACATCGGCATAATATATATCCACCATAACCACTTCATTAAGCTAACATTGTTTTTGTGCTTATAGTATCCTTTTAAAAGAACTGTTACTAAATGGTTTGACTACCTATATTGAGGGGAGGGTCCTAGGGCACTCTTTAAGCACGACTGTAGTGTTATGTGAGACGATAAAGATTGTCATTTTGATTATACTCATGGTGGAGTAGCTACATAATGATTTGTTAACTTGTATGAAGAGTGTCTGCTGGGTGAATGCACAACTGCCGGTCCTTACCTTTTCTTACTAGCTTTTTTTCACATTTTAATGTGAAGTTACTACAGATTGTATCAATTTGAACAGCGGATCATTTACATTTCCTGAAATGTGGATAATTATTGAATTTCATATTCCACTGACGGAAACTGCAAAGCCTGAAGATTTACAGCAAAACCAAGGAATTCAAATATAATATATTTTTAGTTTATTTGAAATTTTCAATTTATTATCTGCATAATTATATCTAAGTATCTAGGTAATGGAATCTCTATATAATATAATATTTCCTATCTATTTTCACAGAGAAATCTCTATATTACGCAAGACAATCTGCTCTGAACATTTGCTCAACTTATCTAATTATCTATGAATACGAAGATCCGCTTAACTTGGTTTAGTCATATTGGTTTATTATGCAGTTTATATTCCTCATTAAAATATATTTCCATTCATTCTTTAACAGAAAAATCCAAATTAGAGACCACGCTCCATTAAAATTGTTCCAGAGATGTCCTGCTCAGTTTTTAGTTTTTATTCCTAAAATATCCATCTGCCCAGCTGTGTCCACAAGTCCAAATCACATCAGATAACTTCCTCTTGACACTTTTCTGTTAAGCTTTAAGAAAAAAGACTTTGCAGAAATGGTTGTCAGATCTCTCTAGAATACTATTCATCATTCTCTCTGCTTAATTAGTTCACTAGTTTCATTGTCTCCCTGAAGATTGAAAAGTGTGTCTACTGCAGGTGGATATGAACGATGTAGAAATAGATCAAATTTTCTGACATAAAGTTTTATACCTAGAGAAAAAAACATGCAATATGTTCTCTTTTGGGTTTGAAATAATCACGTCTCACAATGAAAAAAATGATAAACGTAAACACATATTATACAGCTGCAACAATTTATCGAATGTATCTATGTGGTGAAACCAACCTCGCCACTGGGCATTGGAGAAGCCTGTTTGCCCGCCTCCTGCCTGCTGACTATGGCCCCTGGGAGATTTGGCCCTTTAAATACAGTATTTGGGCAAATTGTATTTTATTATGCTGCTGCTGGCCCTTTAAGAACCATCTGGGGACATACTGTGGAGTTACTGGGTGGCCACCATTTCATGTATCAGAGGCACATGGTGAGAACAATGGATGAAGCACATGGTGAGAACAATGGATGGCGGCCATTTTAACTCACAGACAGTGTTTGGACTTTTCTACATGGTGCCATCTCGCCGGTATTTGGTGCACAAAGACATTGTGCAGTAGTTTTAAACTATACAACAGGGGACACATTATACAGTAATCATTTTTCATATAGCTTGTATATGTTCTGCGGAATCTGCATTAAACTGTATCTTCCAAACTACTGAACGGATCTGGGTGAATTTTGGATATGTGGTTCACCCAGATCCCCCGGTTCCGAGGATATGGGGTTATTGCATGTTTTGGGTTCCCTGTGATATGTTTTATAATACTGTATTTCTCTGCCTGTGATAATTATATTAACAATTGTGTTCAGTAATCATATCACAGGCAGAGGGGAGGATTTTGTGTGGGAGTGTCTGTGTGTATTGTACGGATTGATTGGTTGTATTTCAAAACCCTGTGGGCAGTACTATGTTTGTGGATTGTGAATAAAAGAGGCTGTATGTGCCAGTACAGTCAGTTCTACTTCACCCTCAATTTGGAGTGCCTTCTCTTATTGGGGGAATCTGCTACAAGGGATTGCTATGCTTGTCATACTCCCTTGCTAAATCACTCCTAAGCTCTTGTAAGAGCTTGTTCCTGCCTTGCTCTCTGGAGGAGTCTATGGTGGTTATGGTGTCGGTTGGAGTGCTGGAAACCCTCAGGAAGCGCTAGGAGCATCCTTCAACGGAGGTATCCAGTCGGGGTGCCCGTCGATCCGTTACAATCTATCTATCTATCTATCGATAGACATGTAGACAATGCTTCTCCAAGTCCAGGTGTTTTCTAACAGTTTAACGTTTTACTTGCGGTGCACCGGCCAGCGTATCCTGCCTCCATTACCATCAGTTAAGAGCTAAAAATTCTATGTAGGATCTTCTGTTAGCTCTCCTGAGCTAATGGAGCGAACTAGGTAATGGAAAGTTGTGAATTAAAGGAAGTTTCGATATAGGAACTTCTGGCTTTCCGAAAGAAGCAGTGGACAGTTACGAATTTGAAAAAATATTAAAAATATTAAAACCAAAATAATTTTTCAAATAACATTTTGGATTAAAAAAAATGGTTTCCATTCATATAGTAATAGAATCATCTAATTGAACTCATCATAACCAAGCTGCATTAGATACATCGCCCAAAGTAACCTAGCCTGCATATAAAGAGGATGCTGTTACAGTTAAATGATAATAAATGTCATCGTCTATCAGTGTTGCATTTATTGAGCGATACTGCAATGCATGCAAAGCTGGATATGGATTCCACTAATTTGTGATTAAAACAATTGTTACTTTAGGTCTTAAGCTGTTGTCTTGTTAATGTGGATTCACATTTTCAAAATTAAGAGTGTGCTATTACTCATGGGTTATACATCCTTACCCACCAGGGGTGTACTGACCACTCGTTCTGTGGCAGTCAGGGGCCCACTTGTAGCAGAAGCTATAGCTCAAATGGGGAGATCAGCCAAACTCCCCTTCCAGCCCTGCAATTTTGTAAATTTTTTTTTATTGTTTTCACTTTTATGCAGTGGAAAAGTTGCCAACAGCTAAAATCCTGATTTGCTAGAATGAAGCACTCCCTATGTGGACAGCAGTGGATAGATCTTATGTATATGTGTCCCCATGCAAACATGCCTTATAACACGTACCTTCACAAAATATGCATGCATACAAATACTCATATGTATATGCATGCATATTTTGCATATTGCATGCATATTTTGTGAAGGTACATGTTATAATGCATGTTTGCGTGGGGACACATTTGTGTATATTTTCATTTAAGTGCAGTGTAAATGCATATGTGAATTTGTTTGTGGCGTCAGTATGAATTCATTGAAATGTGCGAATGGTAAGTGTTTGTAAGGTGAGGAATGTACTTGTGTTAGTAGTGCCAGTGTGTATATTTGCATATAGTGGAAGTGTGTATAGTTCAGATATGTATTTGTGTGAAGTGTGTGGATGCTGGGTGTATGTTTGCAGAGAGTTGATGTATTTGTAAAGCAGGAATTTATTTGCAGATATGTGTGAATTCAAATGTATATCGTATTATTAGTGTATTTCCCCAAATGTCACTGTATGACTTTTATCCCTTCACTCACCATTCTCTTCCAAAGCACTTATGTCGCTATCCAATCCTCCACTTTATTTCTCCCTGAATCACAAACCCTTTGTCTCTCCTGTCCTCCAAGTTAATTTACTGAACAGGGAATTGTCCATATATGATATGGAAATTACACAATGTAGACCATATTAATTAAACTGAAAATAAAAACTAAGCTTATTTGTCAGCTCGGCCATATTAGACTAAACTTTTCAATTCGTTGTCAGTCCCAAATGTTTACTCCTAAATAGCTGTAGGATTTACTCACTAAAGAGTAAACTTAAAACCACATTTTTGGTTTTTAATATGTGACAATGAACACATTAGTGAATAAAGCCATGTTGTGCAGTCAGTAAGTGTTATACCACAAATATTTAGAGTCTTGTTGGACTATGGTAATGGGAGGGCTGATCAATTCCCTACTGGATCATTAGCATGGGATGGCTAGCAAGGTGGTTGTGGGAGACAGCCTTTAATCTTTTTTTCTGAAAATTAAAACAGTGAAAGGTGTGTTGTTAAGACAGCTTTTGCTCGTCTGGCACTGTGTGGGTTTGTGGCCATGGTGGATTTATGCTGTCCAGGCCCGACTAGTACATTGGTATATTTCCCAGCAGACTGTGATATCTGAGTCTGACTAGGCTGTCTTATTGATGTTTCTGCAAGTTGTTTCAGAGATGAGAAATAATACGATAATGCAGTTGTCATTGGTGGCAAAAGTGTCAGAGGGAAACAGAGTCTGCATCTGTTTGGCATGGACATGCTGATGGAGACTACAAGAATATATAGTGGTACACGCTGCAACTCAATTAGTTAAATAAAATAAAGTAACCAGTACCCACACAGTAACCGCTACTCACAATTGCTCCACTAGGGTGCACACAACTCTGGCTCCACCATCGGGCACAATGTAGATAAAAATTACATGCCACAATTCCATGGAAGAAATGTATGGCACTCTAAATATTTATTGAAGGTTTTCCAAAAATTAATAACATTTCAATCTACTAAGAGATCTTTGTCAAGCATGAATAGAGAGACTATTATGGATACCAGGGTCCACACACAACTATACAATGGTAGATGCTCTAAATAGCAAAATCGGAACACATTTCCTTGTGGAACACAGAATTTCTCTAGACTTTGTAGGTTGAGAGGGACAATCTAGTCAAAACCCCATGGGAGTTAGGCATAATGAGCAATTATGGGGCACAATTCTAAAACTGGAGGAATCAGCAGGAATATTCCATTGGTGCCCATGGTGATTGCTCCACATTTAGAATTTTACTCCAGTAGTGTACTTTGTACATAACACCTACCCCTAGGTATGTGCCAACATAGACCAATGGCAATACACATGTGCCAGAAAACAATAAAACTGCACAGCCAATAATAGTTCACATTTGCAACAAAAAACCTGCTGGCTCATCAGGTTTCTTAACACCCATCATTTAACACCCATCATTTTCAGGTTTCATTCGTATTCATATGATATGAGTTAAACTACAGGAGATAGTTGCATCATGAAAAAATACAATGCAATTGGACGTGTATTGCTTCACTAACAAAATGTGTATAAAAAAATTAAACTGAAAATGGGATGGGGAAAATTTAAAGCAGTGCAGAATATGTTTTTTTTCTGAATTATTTATAAAAGAATATTTTTTAAAAACTATCTGTGCAAGTGAAATTCCAAATTATAATAGTAAGTATAATAAAAAAAATAAAATTCAAATCATGATCCTTTTTGACCTGTAGTTTTGCAGCTTTACATATTAAGTAAGACAGATTTAGTGATGTTTTTTTATGAAAATAAACTGCATTACAGACATTTGTGCTTGCCAATATAAAGAATTTATTAGTGAAAGGTATTGCTTTGGATGTTTGCTAGCATATACTTAGGCTAAATATATTTTATCCCAATAACTGCATACACACCTTTATTCTGTCCTTTCATACCATATCCTAGATTCCAAAACACAAATGTTTATTACAGAAGCACCGCATTAATTCAGTCATCATAAAATTGTCATGTACCCAATAAAGTACAGTTAGATTTAAAAAGGTATCGGAAAATGTGTCCAGAAGATAAAAATAAATTTTGTTAATACCTGAATAATTTTTCTTTACTTGACAAGGTAACAAACCTTGAAAGAATTGTGTAATTTTTATTAATTCAATTTTGTTTTTTTCTTTTGTTAGATATATTTTACACTTTTTGTATTACTGCCTGTTGATAAATGCCTCTGTATTTTAATATTTTCCATTCAAAAAAGAAGTGTGGAGCTTGTTTGCAGAATATTAAAGGTCATTTCCTGTTTCTATTATAGATGCTGAAATACTTATCAAAATGTTGCCATCAGTGCTGAAACTAGCTTTGGGTTTTTTGGGGGGTTTTTACAAATGTAGCTTTTGGGAGTATTTTAAACATCAAAACATTGGAGAAAAACTTGTAAAATGTTCCTTATTAACAAATCTATAACTTTGATAATCCATCATCATTTAGTAGGTTGAAAGTGATGTTTATATTAAAAGAGGGTGTCTGCTAGGCATCAATGAGAATAATTAACACAGAAAAATAATGAAGAATGGCATCACAATGAGATGTGCAAATAAAGCGATATTTAGTTCACGGTAAGAAAAATACGAAGTTTTGGCTGTGTAAGCCCTAATCATATATACAATCATAATAGCGTCCACTATATATAAACCCCACACCTACACTTCACCTACACTTCAATTAAGGGCAAGCTCAAATTCAAACATTGACTAAAAACAAGACATATAACAATAGCATTTCTATATGTAATAAAAGGGATATTGTCTATTTAGTTATGTTTAAGGTTACAAAGAGATGTCACATCTACAGGTATTTAAAGGGCCCCAATAAATATTGCTTTGTTTGCACATCTTCTGATGCCCGTTCTTTACTCTTTTTTTATTGTACAGAGGTGGGGAAGCAGCCCTGCGGGAGTACGGAAGTAAACGGAACTTCTTTAAGTACAGGACAGACTTGTTCCTACTCTGAGAACAATTAAAAGTCATAAGAGCTACTACATCTGGTAAAAAAGTAAATCATGTTTAAATGCGTCTTTACAACCGGGTAAATGTATTAAAAATACTCAAAAATTAAAGGTGTAGTGAAAATGCAAGACATGCAAAATTTGACCTTAGATAAAGCAATGAAATTAAATGGAAAAAATAAACAGTACAGCCTGCACACAATTTGTCTCTAGAGATATTGGGGGGGAGGGGGAGGGAGTGATTTGGCAGGCAACTGGATGAATACTTTCAAAGGGGTCAACTGTATAGAGCTTAATGCGAAAACGAACTTGAGTTCCAGCAGAGTCACACCAAAATGTTATTTACAATTTTAGTAATCTCAGCTGCAACACCAGAAATATATTTTTCTGTTTTTCTGCAAGAATGTCAAAACTTCAATAGCAATGCATAGAAACTGCAATGCAGAATCCAGTAGGAAAGTGTGAGAATTAGGAGCAAGTGACAGTGTAAAATTGGAAGGTGAAAGTGAAGTGGAGAATGGACCCACGAATTAAATTGAGAGAGTAATGACAGTTACTGTGGCAGTCCACAGGCTATACTGAAGACTTGTGTTTTAGGGACTTCTTAAAAGAACATTTTTAAGAATTTTTAAGAATACAAAGCTGTACTCCTAATACTTTATTGTCCTTGTGCCCCCTCTTCCCCCCACCCCTACCCCACCACACTCATGGCAAATAAATAAGAAAAAGCTTTAAACATTTACCCGATTCCAACATCAGTTGAACTCTGTGGAACTGAAGTTCTGGGAGTACAAGCTGGAATACTTTAATGGCAGCCACAACTGGCCCTTATATGCATGTCCTCATGCAAGGGGAACTCCCCCTGGACCTGAGAGTAAACCACAATAGAAACAAATATACAATTACATTGGCTCTCAGATCCAGGACACTCCCATACATAATCAGATAATCCCTCCTCTGTGCCTGGGAGATAATTGGATCAGGAACTGTACTAATCTAATCCAATTATCTACAAGCACAGAAAAAAAAACTTTTTTCCCAAACGCCCCAAAAGTACCCTAAAAATACATAAAAACCACACAAAGTTACATCCTCTGATAGCCCTGATTTGGGTGACCAACATATCCAAAAATCCCCCAGATCAGTTCAGGGGTTCAGGAATTTCCTGGAAGTCATAGTTTGACTGACCGTGCACATGGCCCAAAACAGTTCCATGAAATCAGTGTTAACGGTCAGTCACGTTTGGTAGTCTCTTACAGGTTTCCCTGCAGGGCCCATAGTCGTTTTTTGGCCCCAGACCCGAACACGGACATATCTCTGTATGTTCAGGTTGGAGTTTGGCAATTTAATGACGCGCTTTGAAAGGCTGCAGGGCAGCCAATCAACAAGTGTTTGACTCGTGTGCCCTTAGAAGCCATCACAGCCATGCCTACTAATGCCATGGCTGTGATTGGCCAGTGCAGCAAGTGACCCAGCCTCTATAGAAGCTGGTCACTTAGTATTAGTAAATTATGCCCCCACTCGCTATAGTGCGAGTAGGGGCGTGTCTATTAATAATAAGGGGGGACTCCTAATGTCCTCCACCCCGGATCCCACCCCTGAGTGGTGGGTGGGGGCCA